ATGGAAGGCCTTAACTGAATAGATGTGTATCCCTTCTCTCGGTCAGTGTTTGTGAATAAATGAGAAAGGGAATGAGTGCAAAGGGAAAGAGACGGACATTCTTCTCTCCACTTCATGGTCCGATATGAATCATGAATTTACACAGGCCTTGAAAAGTCTTCCATCCCAAAGGAACATGAACTGAAAATCGATTTGATGAAATGGATGTGGTGGGTACCAACTGAGGAAGAGATAAAATGGTTGCTGGAGAGGTGCTTGCTTCTCCATCTTCTCCTATAGCTCGATAAATGTTTTATGGTGAACCGCTCCCTCCATATTCTCCCATACCTAACGCCCAAGGTCTCTCTGTCCTCCCCCGCACAAACAGCAATCATTAAATTTCCAAGCATATTTCCTTATTTTTTCCAACATTTCGTACAATAATTTTAAATCTCTCTGATTTTCTGGAACTCTTTAGTCCTCCTTCAGTTATCCATGAACAATCTGTTATTCTTACTACCGCTTTCCATCTTCCAACCAATAATATCCTCAAATGTATCGTTCGAATTTCATCAGATCTCCTTAATGTCCTCTTTTCCTCTGGCATCTTAACCAATATTTCATTATCAGATGCACCAGCAGTGTAACGTGTGACACAGCTATTCGACATTTCTTGAAGATGACACCACGACTTATCCTGGATATCACCGAGGATATCGAAACGCCAGCATAGCATCAGAATTTTATTTAAATAACTTTAATTTATGATTCTCATATCCAGATCGTTTTATCGTTTCATCACGCGATTAACCTTTTTTTTTTTAGATGTTATGGTCATTTCTGCCGATACACAGAGCTTGTTTCATCCAGCTCGACTTTCAAAATTATGTTTGAGTACATTATCCATTTTCCAAACTATTTCCTTATCACTACTGCCTGCTAAATGAGTCATAAAATATTTGTGAACTTAAGATGAGCATCAGATCAATTCCACTTATTCTATCAAGTGGTTGGAATTGTATCTAAGTAAAATGGCGATGTTGCACTTCATAGTTCTTTGTCTCTTTACCTTTACTATTTCAATATTTTCACTTTTTTTCTTTTAATAATCTGTACTAGATTAATATTTTGGTTGTTTCTTGGCACTTTTTGAACAAGAAAAGAAAAACTATAACTTATTGGTCAGTAAAACCTTTGGTTTCGATAACGCATACAATAATCATCACATTATGTCTTGTGTTTATGAGAATTCTTTCAAGATTTCTTGAAGATATATCGGGCAAAGCAAAGATATAATCTCGCCTTAACATCCATACCATTGTTCCATTTTCATGCTATTAATGCGATATTTTTGAGCAGAAAATGTTAGAAGAGCTGAAAGGGCTAACCGAACATTTGCTGAGTGAGAAAGGAAACAAGCTGAGATTTACTGGTTTTTTGAGTATGCTCAAAACAGAACGGATTTTATACCTTTAGAAATTAAATTTCCAAATTTCCATGATCAGTCATAGGCAGTCACCTCTGAATCACCCTTTCTAAGAAAAGTTAGAAACTGACATTCAGGAACATAAGGACATAAAGCAGCAATCTTCTAAATTCGTGACCACTTTTATTCAACGGAAGATTATAGATTTCCTGTGAAGAGAGTTAACAAGAGGGTAATCTGATCTTCTTATAATGATAGTTTAGAAATATTTGTAAATAGTTGTAAATTCGATCCATTTTGGTTGTTTATCTCAGAAATGAGCATCCTATTGTTCTCTATGTAGGGATATACTTTTTTGTTCCTTTACACAGCTGTTAACATGTTTTTGGTAAAGAACGAAGAAGAGAATATGTTGATTTACTTCGGGTTCCGGAAGACTACTTTCAAAATCTCTTTTTACAACAACAATTTCATTTCTCACATACATAATTGTTATTGAGGAGCATCATAGAGAAAGGAAAAGAAACCGTATATTGTTTATAAAATATCGAAGTCAAGCGGAATTCTTTTCCCAAAAACTTGATTTTTTGCATCACTGAGACTTAGTTTGCAGTCATAATTGTTGAAAATATATTCCTCAATGTCTTATAGAAAGTAAGTAGGAAGTGAAAAGCTGTTTTGTTCGTAAAGTATATAGATATTAGAGTAATCTATAGATAGTAGAGTAATAAAAATAATCTTACTGGATTTGAATCACATCAGTTCTGGTTAAGAGGTTAGTAATAATGCTAAGTAAAATAAAATATATTTCTTTCTCTAGATCCACCAAACCTTACTTCGCAATAAATTCACGCTGTACTACCTAATATTAACAGGTCTTTCTCACCGGGTATGGACTGTTTATTTTTCTGTATTTTCAATCACAATTTTAGATCATGGCAGCTGCTGGTACAGGTGGTACTGCAACTGCGCCGACTGGAACAGATCAGAATTTTGATTATATGTTTAAACTGCTGATTATTGGTAATTCATCGGTGGGCAAGACTTCATTTCTATTTCGATACTGTGATGACTCTTTTACGTCTGCATTTGTTTCAACAGTTGGCATCGATTTTAAAGTGAAAACAGTGTTTAGAGGAGATAAACGCGTCAAGTTGCAAATATGGGTAAGTACTAATCATACTTATTCCAACATCTCCGCTTCGAAACACAAATACAGTGAATCTAATATATGGTTACTATTCTTTCATATGCTGACTGGAAAAAAAGTCATGAGAAAATCAGCATACGGAAATACTGAATTGAATGGGATGCGGATGGCCTAACTGTATGCTAAGAAACTGCAATAAACTATCGAATTATTTTGGAAATGACAAACTATACAATCTTTGCTGGAAAATTCCCTCTAACTAATAGTCAGATTTTGCAACTTAAAGAGAAAATCAATAGTGAAGCATTTTGCTCCTTAGGTGGCATACTTCACATACCATTGGAAAGAAAAATATTTTATACCAATTTAAAACACCTTCGAATAAATAAGCTTCTTCAAGTCTGGACAATCATTGTCACATTACTCATTATTTTTTCTTTAAATTTGCAGGACACTGCAGGACAAGAACGATATCGGACTATAACAACCGCATATTACCGTGGAGCGATGGGTTTCATCCTTATGTATGACATTACTAACGAAGAGTCATTCAATAGCGTTCAAGACTGGTTCGTTTTTAATTTAAAACCACCCTGTCAACGTTTTTTCTCCTCCCAACAAAATTCAGGTAGAGAAATAAAGCGAAATGGCCGCTCCACCGATTATGCGATATCAATCTATTACTATAACTGTTTCCGTTAAGTGATTTCTTGCCTCCACGAAATAATGTAGCACTTCCAAAATGACCTCTCATTTTCCTTCTTTTTCTGATTCCTTCCTTCTTACCAGCATCAAATTTACTGTAAAATTTCTCTGTGACATTTTACAAAATTGCTTTAGCCCTTGAATTATCACTGCACGGAGATACCATTCGAAGAAAACTTGAAAATATAGCAATCACCCTAAAAATTATATTTATTTTATTGATTCGGATGAATAATCTAATCATTCTTTTTAATCATTTAACGTAACCGCAACGCAATGGTTGAAGTTACTTATGAAGTCTGAAGGTGAAGACCTAATTGGCGTATGAGAGGGTGCCTAAACTGAGATAGACTAACAGTCAGTCTTTCGAAATATTTTTCAATGAAAGGAAGATAATGATATATGTATATATATATATATATACGAATTGTAGGTGCACACAAATCAAGACATATTCGTGGGAAAATGCGCAGGTGGTACTAGTTGGGAATAAATGCGACATGGATGATGAGCGAGTGGTGTCATGTGAACGGGGTAAACAGTTAGCCGATCAACTTGGTATCTGCTGGATTCATTGCTTCATATTTCTTCTAACCATTCAAGAAAACTTGGTTTTTTTTTTTTACAGCTAAGCAATTTGCTGCTTTCGGTTTTGACCTCTGATGATAAACAATTCACAAAAGATGGCACAAGTCTCTTTGTTGTCATGTTGCACGTTAGTAGCATCTTACATCGTCTGGCTGCTAGTCTGTTTATATTGGGCCAAATTTCAGGCTTGTAAGGTGATTCATTTTAGGCTTAGAATTTTTCGAAACATCAGCTAAGGAGAATATAAACGTCAAAGCAGTATTCGAGAAATTGGTAGAGATAATATGTGAGAAAATGGCGGAATCGTTGGATTCGGATCCCGCAGCAACGCATCCTAAAGGACAACGGCTGGATGCACCGAACATGCAGAAGCCATCGTCGTCACAGTGCAACTGCTAACCAATTTTTAAGTCCTCATTCCAGATAGAATATTTCGCGATATTTCATCACCATTATCTAATCCATGGAGATCCATGAATGTCATAGAGTTAGGCAGTCCTCACAATAACTGGATCCTGAGGAGAGTGAATCCTAACTGAATCTGAATTAACTGAACCCTTTAATTAAGTCATTCTTACAGCTTTTACTTTGACTCCATCAGCGCCACCTCTATTTCTTTTTCTTCTATAGAGAGATCATTTTTTAGTTCTAGTCTTATAAATATTTCCTTTGAATTATAAAGCTGGACAGTTGTTTTCCCGTGTAAGTAGTCATTCTGAAGTGTTCTTTTCAACTAATATCAGCCGCTTAAGTCACTAAATTTCATCTTTTCCAACAATTCCTCGACTTAAAAGAAGATTTCAATTAATACAAGTTAATGAGCGGAAATGGTAGTAAGTCCTTATTGTGGTAGTACCGAAAAACCGATACCTTAATTCATACTTTAAGGCATAACAAGTACTTTGTGGTAGCACAGTAACTGCAAGAAAATTAGTGAATAGTTTATTTGCTTTTATGTGTTACCATCATTTCATTAGTTAAGAAAGGATATTTCATAAAGGATTATCAGAGCTTCTGGATATAACAGTCCCTGATCTTCGCTTTTCCTTCATCCTTGTTTTTATCTATCTCTTTCAAATTAATATTCAATAATAAAGCAGCTTATTTAATTGAGACGAGAAATTGTTTTTATTTTATCTACTGGTTTGGTGTTGTCTGGAGAAATGCATCTCAACCAGAGCTTCTAATTTTACACCATTTTTATTTCCCACCACCTTTTTTCGTGTTTCCATATTAGTTCTCTTCTTTCAACCTTAACTAATCCAATCTGGCTTACTCAATTTGATTTCAGGATTAATCTGTTGCTTCTTTACTACCTGTTCCGTAAAAATTTTTTAATATTTCTACTTTTATTATATCGTACTATTTATTACACATTGTTTTAGACTGCCAATTATGATTTAGCCAAAATAAAAGGATGGAAATGGGAACATGGTGAGAGTACATGTTGACGGTTGTCATCGAATCACCTGAAGTTCCAGGGACTATTTTCAGTTGACCCCACAGTGTCTTTACTTATCTCTATTTATCTGTCCATTAATAGAAAATAATGGATTCAATTGTACAATGGGAATAATAACTTGCTAAATTCATCAAAAAAATGTTCATTCTGCTAACTAATCATCAGCGTAGCTTTATAAAGTATGCTCTGTGATTTCCATCTATCTTCAAGTGCAGTGTTATAATAGTTCAGATATGTATGCGTATATATTTATAAATTCGGATTTTATCAACTTTTTTGAAAGTTAAACTCTTAAATGTTTGCTACATATAAACGTACTGTTAATCCGTGGAAAGCATAAATCAAAAATATTGCAGCTATTGCCACTATCAGGATATAATAACAATATCTGTTGGCTAAGTATGCAAACATATATAAAAGTGACAGAGATATAGTGACATCCAATACTTCATTCTCGTAATAAAACGAGATGAGGTACTCACCACAGCAACACTAAAAAGTAGTTTTCCAATAGCAAAGTAAGACAAATGAAGTGAAAAAATAATGGTGAGAATTTACTTTTGCATTGTCGAAATTCCGATTGAGCGAATAACTTGATGTGAAAAATTTTCTTTACAAAATCGTTAGTCATATCTGTGATGTGGTTTGGCTAATTTGTATCGCTTTCACTGGTGATTCCTCTATTGGACGTTCCATTCATTGATGCGATTTTCGCTTATCCTTTCTCATCGCTACCATCGGGAACCCATAGTCAGAACATACCTTTGATTACTCCAACTCAACGTAGATGTATAATCAGCGTGTACTTATTACTACCAGTACATTTCATCTATTTATTTATCATTTTTTTATTTCCTAGCATAAAACTGGATAACATGACTAAAAAAACCATACAATACTTCTGTAGGAAAAATTGAAACAAAAATTTTTGGTTTGTCGGATTTGATTTGGAAGGGTTTGTTCTTAGACACAGAGAATATTTTGAGAAGGTATTCTTCTTTGGTTCAGGAGGAAGTTATTAATTCGCATAGGATAGTAGTAAACATATCGAAGAGTAGAGGATATAAAGTATGGTGGAGTCCTTGGTTGAGTATTTGAAAAAGAAATGACCATCTAGTTATAGCTTTGAGTATATATAGAATTTTAATTAACACAAAGCATATTTGGTGGGAGTGGTTTATAACAAACATTACATCAAATATTCCTTTGGGTGAAAAAAGACTGTCGAGATCCGATTACAACAAAGGATCTATTTGCAACATTAAACATTGCAATTAAGATTGGTTTAAGATATTTAAAATTTGCGACAACTTCATCCCTTGATAATTCCAATTAAGAAGCAGCTGGACTAAGAAGTTAAATTTCATAATGGGGCCACGTGAAATTTCAGCATTAAGTTGGCTTCAATTGGAAGGGTTGAAGTAGGGAATATTATTGGTTGCTACCTTTGGCAGGTATTTTCTGGATTAGCAGAGGCTTCTAGTCAGGAAACATGGATACAGAAGAGGATGATGGGATGGAAAGTTTTGACATCAACGAACGAGATTTGGAGTATGCGTTAAATCCGGGTTATCGTCGCGGATTATCAAAGAATCAACAACTATACGGTAATGCTTTCATTCACTGTGCTGCTCTTATGGACGAACAACAGAAAGGAAATAGATAGTGGACGAACAACAGAAAAAAATAGACACGTCAAGTGTTTTTTTTGTCGTTATATAGTCAACCAGAACCTCTTTTTAGACTTTTTCGAAGTTTATTACCTTCTTGACAATGCTTAAATATATGGATAGACAGAAAGTTCGTTCTTCAGCACTTCGTTTTCATCTTGGCTGATTGATTGCTGTATTTCAGGCATTTGGGCTGATCGTGAGGAAAGTGATAGCGAGGATGTGCGTGCCGGGTTCGGTTCAAAAGGCTCAAAGAAACAAAGTAAAAATTATTCCGCTCCAGTGACATTTGTCAGTGGTGGTATAAAACACGGCAATACAATTGAAAGGGAGGTTTGTTATTTTTTACATGGTTCTTTTTCTTTAGACTTAATAATCAGTATTTTGATGACAACCATTATAGACAAAGGTTGTATTACTGCTTGTTCCAGTCGTATACCGTCAAAGATCCATTGTTATTAGGGCATATACCATAATTACAGAATAAAAATGATGATGATGATGATGCAGTGGATGATGAACCAGTTTCTCTAGCAAGACCACGACGGTCATTCCGTCGGCAGACAGGTGCAAATGTTTTTGCCGGACTTCGTTTGTCGTAAGTCTTCGACATGCTTCTGAAATGTTTTAAATTAATACTAAGCATTAAGCTGTAAACTGATAATATGTTTTGAGGTCAACGCATAGTGTGGTGGATCCTGATAAATTCGCAGATTGGGCGAAGCATTCCAAATCTGACGTGATTATGAAAATGATGCGTAAAATGGGTTACGTACCGGGACAAGGACTGGGTGCAAATAAACAAGGTATTGTAGAACCCATTCAAGCGGTTCTTCGGCCAGGGAGGGCAGCTGTGGGTGCCTATGGAAGAGAATCCAAAGGGCCGAACTATGGAGGTTGGTCTAAATTACTGGCTGTTTTGATATGTTTTTTGTGTAAAATAAGCTGGAATTTTTATTTTAAAGAAATCTTTGAATAGAATTTGAGGGCATAAAATTTTGGGACTTTTCAAAGTTTTTGAGCTGCCGATATTGACTTTGGTTTAATGTTATTGTAATAATACTTCGGTTCGTTTCAGAATCGGCCGGGGAAACACAAAAGAGAGTAGAAAGCGGTAACGATGATGACAAAGTCGAAGAACCAACGAGAAGGGGGAATTGGAAGAAGAATGGTTCCAAGAAAAGTGTGAAATACCAATATAAAACGATTGATGAAGTGATTGCCGAAGGCGGACCACTCAAGCAACGATTTAGCAGTGGAAGTAGTGGTGTCAAGGTATAGTCTACTTTTGATTTTTCTGAAATCTATTATTAGTGGAAGCTTCAATAAGGGTCTTTTCAATTATGCTAAAATATATTACTCCACTGCGTATATTTATTCAGCATCGTTACTGTTATTTCATCATTTAAGTAAAATCCCTTCAGTGATTTAAATCTTTATTACAATCTTTTTTCTTAGGTTATCGACATGACAGGGAAGGAACAAAAAGTTTATTCCGGTTATGATGCCTATGCAGCTAAAACGAGGTATTGATTGAGGTTTAATATAACTTTCATTATTTTATGGGGTTGTGAAAGAAAGAAGATTTTTCCAGAGCAGTCGCAGAAGCACAAGTGGAGTGTCTTGCATTTGATGTGCCAGAATTAATGCATAATTTGAATTTGTTAATCAACGAGACTGAAGAAACAATACGTCACAATGATCGGCAATTGCGCTTCCTAAGAGTACGAAGTATTGCTGATTTGTGGTTCGTCGTCGTAACTCAACCTCACGGACTTCTTTATTTTCCTATGATGGCTTCTGTGTTATCTGCCAACCTATCACTTTGGGTTGAAGCTTTTATTGTAACAATTAGTAACGGGCACAAATAATAGGCGGCTGCTAAATTATGGGGATTGATAATGGACTTTTTTAGGATCAAACAGCAGCACTCGAAAATGATAGCGTACAGATACAGGCTGCTTTGTTGAAAGAACGCGAGGAGCAGAAACGGGTGGAAGAGCTGAATGACTTATTGGAAAGGTTCGCATTACTGTGTGATAAAGTTACGTTCCCTTCTCAGAAAACATGAAGAAGACAGCATAATTCGCGAAAAGTAATAGAAGAGTACTTTGCTATCCATGATCCTGCTTTTTCTCGAAATCCTGAGTTCGAAACTAAATTTGTGGTTTTGTCGATTTGTGATCATTTCCAGGTTTTCCGCGAAAAGTGATGAGGAGAGTGTAACGCTTGATGATTGTCGGAAATTATTTCAGAAAATGCAGACAGAATTCTTTGAGGAATATCGTTTGTTCAGATTGGAAGAAATAGCTGTTGCAAGCGTTTTACCACTCGTAATTTTCGACCATCCTAACTAAAGCTATTCACATTTTACAAATATCTTTTCAATTTATTTAATTACTTTTTAACATTTCCTAAGAACTTTGTTTAATAGATTTCAGTACTATTATAGATTCAGCATTATTTCCTAACATGGAATGCTCTTAATGATGAGCAAATGAGTCACGGTATCGCGTTGATGAGTGAGTGGAAAAGGGTACTGGAAATCGAACAGCGTAGTGTATTCAACGTTACTAGAAGTTTAGGTATAGTATGTCTTATTCTAGAATATATTTTAAGGTACTGAAATTTTAAAGTACTGAAAAATGAGTTTAGCAGATTTAAGAGCCCAAAAGTGAAACGCAACAATGAAGTCATAGAAAATTTTAAAGGTACAACTAGTTACGTAAACTTAGTTACGTAAATTATGAAATATAGTCGCAACATACAATAGTGCAATAAAGCCTAGGCGTGTTTGATGACTTCCACCGCCGCGTTTCACTTTTGCGCTCTTAAATTTGTTAAACTCATTAAATTTTCTATTTTATATGTATTTATGAAAGTAAAAGGGGAAAGAAATGCGTTTCCTTTCATTTGTACTCCCATATCGCTATAGAATTCTAGAAAATCTCTCACCCTTTGATCGACTTCTTTGGGATGGATGGATGCCAGTGATGAGGAAAATTGCTTTGCGGTGGAATCCACGAGACGACCCTCAATCGATGTTACATGTCGTTGAAAAATGGCTACCTCTGCTACCTTTATGGATGCGCGAGAATCTTTTAGAACAAGTTAGTTCAGAACAGTAAAAAAATCCAAAATAATTCGAAGAATTCAGTAAATCCTTCTATGTTTTCTTTTGGATCATTAGTTATGATGAGTTTGATAGCCTTACGATGCGCTCGTCACAGATTATAATACCGCGAATAGCCACTCAAGTGGACGAATGGAATCCTCTGACAGATCGCATACCTATTCATACATGGTTGCACCCATGGCTGGATGTAATGGGTGATCGGCTTCAACCGATCTTCTCCCCGATTAGACAGAAATTGGCCAAAGCATTAAAAGAATGGAATCCAACGGATAGAAGGTTACTTGCTTTATATCCATAATTGAGATCTGTGTACAAACAAATTCTGTCCTACTTATTAATTTCTAATTTCACATATTAGCTGTATACAAAATACAAAGTTTGTCGAACTGTTTAATAAAGGTCATGTTTCAGTTAATCATCTATTATTTTAGTGCCTTGTCCATGCTTCGACCATGGAAAGGTTGTTTCGCATCGGCAACTATGTCTGCTTTTCTGGCAATGAACATCATACCCAAACTTGAGAAGGCCTTGCAAGAAATGATATACGACCCTACAAAAAATCATGTGTGTTGTAACTTATGGTTTACACTTTCCAGTTCTAGCTTTTTTTGATGGAAGTTTGACTTATTTATTATATTTCCCGTACATTTCCCGATCTTCAGCGGTACGATGAATTTTATGCAACGCTGGACTGGGTTGAATTGATCGGTACGGAGGGTATTGCAGCTGTATTAGTACGTAGTTTCTTCCCAAAGGTAATTTGATGGTTTGTGATTTTGCTGCGGAAACATTCCTTTGCTGTCATAGATCAGAGAAATAACTTTTTCCAGTGGTATGAAACATTGTGCATTTGGTTGGAATCTCCGCGCGTAGTACCTCAGGAGGTGGTAGTGTGGTATAATGAATGGAAAAGTCGTTTCCCGGTTGAAATTTCTTCATTGATTATTATCCAAGGTACAAATTTTATTCTAGAAATGTTTTTTTTTTTGACTAATTTTCTCTCATGGTAGTATTTCAGAGCAATTAAAGCGTGCACTCATTGCAATGAAGCATGCTCAACAAGGCCTCCATCTCCCAAAAGAAATGCAGCCACCTTTACCACCTCCGGAACCGGTCTCCGGAATGTACAACCCTGCACCACCGAGAATACAACCCCCACCCCCTCATCTTTCTTTCAAGGTTTGAATTTTACTTTCTCTCCCTTCATGCGATTTTTTAAATTTTATGCAGTTCATCTATTTGTCCATGTATTCACTATCTATATATATATACATCCGTTCCAATAAATACAACTGGCAAAATTTGAGGACTACGGCAAGTACCATAATTTCTCCAAATATGACATCCTCCCTTCAAGTTTTCTTTCTTGAGTTTCTTAAGGGAAACTCTTATTACAAGAAATACGGAAACATTGCTACAGAAATACGCATAAAAGAAATGACACTCTCAGGTTGTATGCTTTCACCTCGACTTAACTGACCCATTTTATAGATATTCGAACTGTGCGATTTTCAGGATTTGGTAGAATTAAGGGCACGTGAAGCGGGCGTTTTGTTCGTACCTCAGCTGAATAAGTTCCGAGAGGGGAAGCCTGTTTATTGGTTTGGTAATGTATCTATTTACATCGATCGGAATGTAATTTTTGGTTTCAACGTCGAGACACAGCAGTGGTCACCAATCGGATTAGATCACTTGCTAAGTATATGCTAATTAGTTTTTTTTGGGAGGTAGACTTTCTGATTAATTGGTTGCAGTTGAGACGCCATAAATGTAGGCTTGCTTCTCATCCTTTCCATATTGAACCTCCATCCATTCTTGAAATTCAGCTTTAAATATCATTTCGTACCTATTATTGTCTCTCTGTAAAAATCACTGTTTATTGAAATCTGACCTTAAGCCTCCACCCATTCTTAAACTTCAGCTTTAAATATCACTTCGTACCTATTATTGCCTCTCTGTAAAAATTACGTTTACCTACGTTTATTGAAATCTGACCTTAAATGCCTGACAAGTCATCCGCGCGAAGGTGGGTAACGCGGTAAATACACCGGCAGGTCAGGAACGTTGGAAAACTGCTTAGTTTGTACCTTCTGTTGAAAAAATTTTACAGTTCCCTTGATAAAATCTTTTTGCTGATTGAATTCCTGAGTTTTTAAAACCAGATGGTGTAAAAGTGGAGGCCACGTGAGAAGTACTCGTAACACCTTCATCCAGCAAGAAGCGAGAAGCTGAAGCTGTTGTAATTATGTTTATTTCTTCTTTCCGATCCTATATTTCAGTAATAGCGGAAATAGTGAGGAACGGAGCTTTTTTGCAACATCCTTGGAGCTTCAGTTCCTACAGCTTGATGGTACCTTTCACAAAGCAAGGTCTGATTTATTACACAGCTTAATTATCTTCACTGTGCACGAAAAAAAAACGAACAATAAAAACTATAAATCAGGTGAGAACTTCAAAATATATGAGCATATAGATAAGAAGATATGAAGTCATGATATATTATATGAGAAACAAAATATTGGAAAGTAGCAACAAATAGCAATTTGTCTCATGGGTGGTCAAAACTTATGATAAAATTAGCGATTTCACGGGCTACATTGTGACAAGCTATAATCAGTGAACTCGTTTTATCAAGTATGGAGCAAGTTTGTCCAATCAAATCAGGGAAGTTACTAAAAGACAAGATCCATGGCTGGAATCTGAAAAAAACTCCAAAGTCACTCTTGCTTTAATGGCCAAAATGATTAATGTTATCTAGAAGCTAAAATTATTTTCCACCCTACCTTTTTGTTGTGATTACCACATCTCTAACATCAAAACTATTCTCCACCACAGAAGACAAGATATCAATAACAGCGTAGTCTTATTTACCTAACCGACTCGACTCAATTTTTTTGTTCGTTGATTTCTTCGCTTCTGCTCTGAATCGCAATATTTTTCTGTATGTGCGAACTTACCTGTGGCACCGCAGTGACGACAGACGTGTCTGTAAAATTATCAGAAGTTGGAATTAACTCCCATTTCCTAATCATGACAGAGCTATCGTCGATTAGTTCCCCCTTTTCAAGCTGTACTACAGTGAAAAGATGGTTAGCTTCTCACATTTAATTGCCTAGTCTCAACATCATTGCCTAAGAATGATGTGTAAGTTAAAGGGATTATTTAAATAGGTACGGAAGTTAAACAGTATAATTGTCTAAAAATTTCTAAGAATTGAGAAATGAAACTGACGCAGCCAAAATAGGACAAATCACTACACCCTTGGAGTCCTTACACACGTGAGTTCGCCATGGTCCATTGAACTTGGGATGAAGGATAATACCGCATTTCTCGTACTGAAACAAAATGATGAGAATATAAAAACAAAACCTCCAAAGATCTGAGAAGTGGCATTCGATGAAAACTTACAGCAAAACGAGCGTTATTGAAGCAGAAAACACAGTACCACTTGTCCACCACTTCCTTCTTACCATCAGCTAGAATATCAATTATCAAATTTCTAACATGATAAGAGAGGCAGTCTCTTTCGCCACAGTTTTTCAGAATTCTTTCAGAAGCGCCCTCACATCACATCCACTTTTCTGTCCGAAACAATCTTCCGCTCCTCATGAAATGGCATCTATTAACTCTAGCTGGAAATGTTAACATAATAAAACCCACTAGCGACAGTATTCTTCTGCAAAGACTTCAATCGCATTGAAGGCGGAGTGACTGAAACAGCCACCTGATTCGGTAATACATCCTTCAGTTTCCGCGCAGCAACAGCAGCAGTATTCTGAGGAACCTCGCTCCTGACCAATTCAACAGATGGTTTCCAGATTTCCAGAAAAGTACTTAAGTCAGCGTGTAGCTGAAAAATGTGGCAGTCAACTACGATAGTGTCGGGTAAAGTTATATGACAAAACAACATAGACAGTCTAAGTCGCCCGAACTCTTCTTGAAATGGATCATTTCACCCCTATTGTAACTTAACTGTGGTGTTGCATTCTACAACCTCAATGATTACCTGATATATTATTCTTTGCTGAGCGATACCTGACAGTATTCTCATACAAACATTAAGTACTAACGTTAAAGATAGCAGCAGTTGCTTCGCTAAAAAGCCAAGAATTATCAGCATGTTCCTGAGTGTCAAAGTAACTTTCTTTGGCAGGTAAACCAAGAGTGGACACATAAGTAGTCAAAGGACCGAATGAAGGCGGATTAACTGGAAAGCCATTGTTTTTATCCAGAATAGGCAACCTGAAAATAAGGAAATTATTTTCATAAGTGAAGGGTAATTCAAACCCGTTAGCAAAAAACGAGAGAAGTCCATTGCTTCCTTCCTGTCTCCAGCACCTGACACAAAACTAAGTGGGCAACTTACTCATCTTTTTGCATATCATCGGCTGTTCCCTTTCCATAACTAGTAAAGGTGAGCTGAAATCACAGTTTCAGAAAAATTCATCAAATCACATCTAAAAAGTATAATAAAGTGGATAGAACAGGATGTCCATTTACAAATGGTATTGCTTTCACCCGGAGGATCACTGGTTACGGTAGCTAAGGCACCTCATCTTCAGCAAATAACCTGTTGCAAGCGATGAATATTCCCAGGGATGAACTTACGCATTTACTCTAATCTAACTATTCAAAACCCTACATTAGGAACACTACAGTGAGTGCCATCGTTGAAATGTCGATCCATCCAACCAGTTGACCAACTGTTTCTGCAATAGTGTTGAAAGTTATCGGCAAACGGGAAAGAAACAATATGAGGAGACGAAATGAGTAGAGAAAGCAAACGTACATTACTTCATGATCGGTAATCTCAGCTTGTCTTACTTGTGACAAATGCATTATTAAGCCAGTATCGCTCGATTTGCTCTGATCGTTCGGTAAACTAAAATTTATTACAGACGAAAAAAAGATGTATTTACTTCAACAAATGAAGCTTATCTCAAATTCAAATCTGCTTTTACTTTAATTCTTGTTGTCAAAAATGTTTCGGCAGGTTCTCTTCATGGCCATTTCTGAAAGAATCCCCAAACTCAAAACAGCGGACAATGAAATCCCGCACCTGACGTCATTTTATTCCGAGAGGAAATCGAGAAATGGATCCTGACCCCACATCACATGTTCACAGTTCGGAAACACAACCATCACCTACCTCAGCATGTCGGTCAGCACACTATATCGAGGGCATCACTCATTCTCATTCCTAAACTAGCCTACAACCGTGGGAAAGTAGGCTTATTTTACAGCAGCTATTGGTCGTCACAATGTTCGCAGCCACGCCCTTATAGTAGCAAGAGCGGTAGCGATGATAGTAAAGCGCTCTCAGTACAATTACTGGTGGCAGAGTCTCCATAAATGTAATCGATAATAACATTAATCGCTGGTAGCGTAATCGCTAGCAGTATTGTCGCATGTAGAATGGTCGCTAACAGGTTGTCGTTAATGGTAAAATTTGATGCGAGGTTTTTTATGACTACGATTCGTGGTGAGACGTTCCACCCATTGACCACGAACATAATTTATTGATGAACTTCATAGACAATACAATACAGTTCAGAGAGGTGAGATAACATAATGTCCGCATCAGAATCAGACATTTATTCTACCATAGTTCTTGAGTCCATTTCTCCAGCTCTACTTCACTATTCGGAACAATAAGTTCATTGTGCATTTTGACTGCAAGAAAATGGTCAGGTACGATTTTCTGACATTTTGATTTCTGAAGGAAATGAAAAACTCGATAGTTTTGACTTTGAAAATAGTAGAAGTAAACAAAAAAGTGGAAAACCAAGGCAAATATTTCCTCGCCAATGGTTTATTATAAAGGACGATTACATGGATTTTTTTTTCTCACTATCATCCGCACAGATTTGTTGAACCTTTGAAAACAGATACCATTTGCGGGAACTATCTGTTGGCAGACTACAATCGATGAAGAAATACTAGCATTTTCACCAATCTCAGCACCCGAACAAATAATTGAATTGGTTATTTGTGCCCTAAATTAATTTCTATAGATTATGGATAGCAACAATGTATAGTTAGCATATTCGAAATGGTGATTTCATCAGCGATGTACCTCACTGTTTAGCAAGATTTTTTTCCCACTTATGACGATGGTAAAAATTCAATACAGCATACGACGTTACAAAAAGTTATAACCAAGAAAGTGAAGTTAAGTAATGAAAAATAGAATCAGGTTTCGACTACAGTGGAATTTCATCATGAATAATCCGATGAACGAATCTAATTAGACTCTACTAATAATAAACATGAGAGCAATGAGTGATGTTTCATACCCCGCATTAATTTGACATCCATCCATGAGCAAAGAACCGATAATTTTGCTTTTTGGCTCAATGACACATTTCTCACCGGTCACGGAGCGCTTGATAATTGATCTTTCTGAACGGGCCGCGTGCACTTCACCATCATTCTTTAAAGAAATGCGAGTAGTAGGATGGATGTAAGACTCAGAGACGGATGCGGTACCACTGCCATCTATTGATTGTCCAACAGGAATTTTTTCGGAAAAACTTGATAAAAAACGGATGATCTGAAAATAAATAGTAATACAATATAAATGAAACTAAGAACAACACGACTGATGAGCCATTCGGTGTAATATTCCTGAAAGAAACATTGAACGCAAAATATGGATCGCATGGGAAAGGCTAATGAAAGGATTTGTCAAATTCCTTTCAAATTTCCTCTGGTCAATTTCATTGATGATTCAAACAGTTGATTCTGAAAGAGCAGTCTTTAAGTCAAGAAAGGGATGGCCTGGAATTCTCTGCAAGAACTATCATCAGAACAATGATTTTCAAATTCCAACGAAAAGTTCGTTTGTACTAGAGCGATAAAGTAATAAAACCAATTTATAGATTTTTAATTCTAAAACTTACTGCTTTATTAATCTCAAAGTAAGCTCCGATGGTGTTCACATGCCCAACAATGAAGCCATTCTCTGGTGGCAGTAAATAGGCAAAACATTTCAAAGGATATTGGAGACTTTTTACAGCAGTCGTACCAAAGCTGAATTTCTGCACCTTTTCATCGAGAGGATCGATCCCGAGATGTTCAGTCAATTCTGAAGTAAGGAAATATTAACAGACAGAAATTGTTCTATTCTTTTATTCAGCAAAAAAAAAATACCGTGGCCATCTTTTGCATTCTGTTTTTCCAAAATGTACGGGATAAGATCAGCCTTCAGTGATGTAAATTCCCTGCAAGTTATAGTTTTCTATCAAATCGACAGTTGTTAAATTTTCCAATATGCTTAACGTCTTATTATAAATTTGCCTTAATAAGGAATAACTTCAGTTCATAGGAAATGTTGATTTAAACGTATTAAATTAAACAGGCTGAAGCAAGCCAGAAAAACTTACTTGCGCTCCTTGATAATGTTTGAAATGCATTTCTTCATGATATATAAGTGACAGTCGTTGTATTTAGCAGTGAAATAAGCAGTTCGACACCTGAAATTTCAACGGTTATATTATTATTTCGAGAGAATTCAAAGTCTTGCGAAAACGTTTAATTGGAATTAAAAATTACTTATCAAGCAAATCAACATGCACAGCGATCGTCTCGTCATAATCTTCTTCTGAACCATTGAACAGTAGCTGATTATTCTCCGAAAGGACAATAAAATCGCGGCCTGAAATCATGAAAACAGGAAGATGACGATATACCTGTGGTAAAGATGTACTGTTCTACTTCAATCAGTAACCAAGAGATACTTTCTCAGGTCAAATTCAGGGACTGCCGAACACAGTACATTGACCATCGAAGAGATTCGAAGAGACTTGCACTGAAGATCCTCAAAACATTTCATCTAGTCTCCTGACTTGTCGATGCTTTAGATGCTCGGTCATTATTCCTAGATTATTTGACCCTATCCACTTCAAACTGCAAGGTTTTCTAGATTTACATATCGACGTAGAAGAACCAGGAAAATATAAATTTTTAGGAATGCTTTTTTCCATCGATTGTTGAAAAAATATTTGAAGTGAAAATCAATGCCTTTCGAGAGTTTCATTTTAGGTCCGGGAACTGGTCCTGTGATAACCCGATCGCACAATAAACATGTTAAAGTGGCATTCTCAGCGGCATGTAATGACAGCATTGGAGCTAGGTTCACATCAGTAACAAAGTCACCACTAACAACAATGAAATCTTTCTGCAATAAATCTGTGCACATTTTAGGCATTTGTTATGCATGTATACGCTCATGCCATTAAACAGTATGTGAATAAAACAGAACAAAAATTATGTGAAATAAATAGAACCCAATGAAGAAAATATTACCAGTCCAAATGAATTGGGACAACAGGATATCTACTCTATGCCTTTCTCTTGTAAGATCCATTCTATCAACAAATTAAGGCATTTTATTTTACAAAAGCTTATAAGCAAGCGTAATCAAGCAGGATCTATTCTACTACTTTTTTTTTTCGGCAATGCAGCGTTACCACTGATCACTGAAAATAGTAAGGGCTCTAATTTGAACAATGAAGAAGGGAAAAAGATGAAGGCTAGCGAAAACTGTAAGCAACCGAGTATTTTGAAGAGATTACAATATTTGCCTACTTGGAAGCGAATACTGAAACCATAGCTATTATTACCTTGATTCGAGCATCTATGAATCTCAGCACATCTGCAGTACCCCAGTGCTCAGCAGCACTGCTTAATTTCACAAATTCAATCTGTAAATCACTCAACGGTGGCAAGGCGGAGCTACATAAAAGCTGCCTGATTTCACCCAGCAACCTTTCGGCCACAACCATGATGACCTCTAAAAAGGTATATTATCATCTTCGTAAGAGACGTCTTGAGAAGTCCTAAAAGGGAAATTGTAAACAAACGCATAAAGCCTCGACAAACAATACAGTACTACATCGTAATTTTGGGCCCATAAAGTGCTAAATTAATTCCAAGAAGAACTTGAAGAAATCTTTATATACAATACAATTTACTTATTTAGAAATTATAATTGCTTCAAAATTTTACTCTGTCAATAGATGTGTCGCAGTTACTTCAAACTAACAAGGGAAATGTATATTTACATCACCTAGTGAAGTAACAACAGCACACAAGGCAAAAAGTAAGAACCGTAATTATGTGCAGGGATTTCCATTCTATCTAAAACATTGACAGAGTGCAATGGAACCTATAATTTGAATATTCAAAATTATGACTTTCATCATATTCTGCCCAACCATGTAGCATGTGGTAAACTTTTATGTTCAACGACGTATATCACACATCACTGTGGTTAAATTTCCCACTAACGTTAGTTGATAATATCAGGTACAGTAGAGCATACATTACTTTTTGAAATACACAGCAATTTTAAAAGTCAACCTCTTATCGAATTTTTTTGCAAAAAATTGAGTGGATACCAAAACATGGGAATACCAGCGATTGGAAGCATACATTTCGGGATATGATCAGTCAAACTGGTCATCCGATTACCCAATCCACCACATAACACAATTGCTTGCAATGCCTGAGCTGCCATAGCCTGAAGAATATTTTCGCAAAAAAAAAAAAACAAATATATCCACAATATCCTACATCGAACTTCCATGCAGAACCCAACCTTCTTTTAGTAACATAAGGCAGTTCAAAAAGTTCAATATAAACAAAAATCCTTTGCCATGTCTTATGATGCATACACTGTAGTGATTACAAAAAAATGAATAGTTGTAATCATGCTTTTATGAGGCAGTTTTTTTCCAAAAATTTATTCAGTAGTAATAGATAACATAAACCAGTTTATTTACAAACTGGTAAAATAGGAAATGCAAAAATAACAATAAACTTCGTTCAGAATAAGACTTCAAGGTCTAATTTCCATAAGCACTAATTTTCTTTTTTTAATTTCGAAAGCGCTCTATCCACCGTTTTTGTATGAATGATCCCGAAGATAGAAACTTTTCTGAATGTGGAAGTGACGCTAGATTTAACAAACATTAGCAGTAGTTTTTCGTTATAAGCAGCGCAATAATTAATTCACTTCGTCTAACACATAAAACATGTTAACTTAGAAATAGTACAACAGCTGCAAGAGCAAATGAAAAAAAAAAGTTTTTTTAAATAGAAATCACATAATGTTGCACAAATGAGTGGTCAAAAACGAAACACTCATTTAGTTTACGACATTTAGTTTACGTTTAGTTTTTTTATAGAATGCTAAACATATACTTTTACAAAACAGCAATTAAAAAACGAAGGGGATAATTGCTCGTCGATGTTTTGGATAGTTTGGAAATTCGCGCACATAATTATGGTGTTTACCTTTCGCCCACATAGCCATTTGAAAAAACCCCGCAAAGGCAAAAATGAGTGCTGCAAGAGTGAGTTAATTAAGCACATAACATTCGATGGAACATAAACACTTCAACCTATTTCAAGATAATGATACATAGGTATCATTATCATTATCTCATAAGCAAATTAATGAGCTGCTACGAATTGATGAGTGGGAATAAATGACGCATTTAATTGTTTCACTTTCATATTAATGAAAAGCGAAAAAAAAAGATAAACCTGGTAATGACTGGGTCATACATGAAAAACACAACCACGATCCCACTTCGTAAGTGTAATTGGGACAGCTTACGACGTTGAACATCAATGTCATCGGATTAGCATCTGGCATTGGGATCTTGCGAACTTTGGTACCCAAAGGGCGCAAGTTTTTCAAAAGCAAATGAACTGAAAAATTACCTGCAAAACAGGTACATTACCTATGCTATTTTGAAGAAAAAAAAATGAAAAAAACAAAACAATGACATTAGTACGTTAGAGCAATAAACAAAAATTACAGGATAAACGCACCGAATTCACAAATGATGAAACCAATCAGGCCCGTGGCAAATTGTACGAAACCAAAATATGGTGGGGTATACAGCGGATGATTGATAAAATAGCTGACAAATGCTGCGAACGCCCAGTAGTAACCGCAGTTCTAAAACAATTGTATTTAGTGACATTAAATATTTTATACACTTTATTTATGCGCTGTAAGCTTCGTGTTTTTATGTCATCATCAACAATATACAAGGTATATAGGAAACCGAAACTTCGACCCTGAATCCACAACATTCACTGAAGATTTTTTTGGGGCATGACGATTAGTAATAGATTTAAAAAATATGAAATGTCGGCTCATCTCTCGATCTTTAAAAATCGAACAGACAAATAAATATTGCAACGATTGTCCAAAAAATAGATTACTTTGAATATATTCCGTAAAGGCATTGTTGCATTACTGAATCGATGAACAAACTGGGTTTCCAGCAAACGTTTTGCATAATGAAGTGTCCAACAAACCAATGCAAATTTTACTCCGTAAGACACTGGATATCGAGATGCGTCTTCAAGATTTGATATCACTTTTTTGCATGTAATTCATTTCACTCAATTATATCATGCTCCAATCAATATTTTCGATGAAAAATAAGCTTATATAAGTACCTAGTCCATAGATTTCAGCTGGCCTCAGATAGAAAATCGGATAAATCACAAGCGGTCCAAAATATTCAAGAAGGAAAACCTAGAACAAAAAACTTTGAATATGAATTAAATGCTTATTCAGAATGAGTTAACAATAACTCTACATACCGTCTTCCACCCAATTTGTGGCCCAAGAATTCGAATATACAGGTGGGCACCCTTCGAAGGTAAATTAAGATCCTGCACAACTAGGTCGTCTTTCAAATTCTTTCCTTTCGCATCTAACCGCAAAGCTATCTGATTGATAGGAAGTGAAAGCTCTAAATATTATAACAAATCATTACAGACTAATAGAAAACTAAATCACATTAAAATTACAATAAATCACCAAAAAGATTAGTAGGAAGTCAGTGCAGTCATGACAAACTCACTTTCAGATAAACGCCTTTTGACTGCCATTACTGATTCATCACAACTGATCTAAATTAGGAAATAATTAATCGTAGCATCTTTATCAAGAATTTCACCTCGTTTTCAACAAAAAGTAGTCTAGATACACTAACTTATATGAAATATACATTTTCTAGGTAGGCGATCGATCGATTAATGCTCATGACATCGAAAATTTCAACTGCAATCAAAGCCATTTCTGCAAAAAAGGAAAAGAAATTGCTTGAAAGTTGATAAATTTTTACAAACCGAAATAAATAACAAATTGTAGAGCTAACGAGCTCTGAGAAATAAATAGAAGAATAATGAGGCAGCTCGGACTCAGAGCATTGCCTTCATAATATATTTTATATGGCTGCAGGAAGAAAGCCCGTATAACAAGAGTTCTTTTTTCCATCCTGAATGTTCTCATTCCATCTTCTCTGTAAATTTCCAGAATTAATAACTAACGTGAAATATACCTGCAATGAAGACTAAATTATACATGCATGCATCTAACCTGTTCTGGATTTTAAGAAATGAAAACCACACAAAGATTACCCGACGAACCAACCCCTAGCCAACTAGCAGACGAAACCAACTCCCTCTGAATACCTTAGGCCTCTCTGCACTGCCTGTGGGCCGTCACGCATTTTGCGGTTCGGGCAGGGCTGTTAAATAAAATTATAGGTCATTGATGGTGGAGTTGTCGCATGTGAGTGGTTAATTCCTCGTTGTTGATTTAGGCTAGGAGGTGGCTATTTCAGTATGTTCTTATTAGCACAATGGATCGAGCGTGCGGAAGGGCTCAAACTCAGCACATGGTTAACTCGATTTCATGTTGCTTCGATGAGCTTTAGGTTATTCTTCCATCCCTGGATGACAGGATCATCGATAGCTTCCTATACCTTTACTCAATGTCCAGAATTCGTTTCCGTTTTCAGTTAGTATTTCGAACGGAATTATATTAAAAATTGGAATTTACTTGCTGTTGATTTTATTAGAGTCTCATCCCTCATGAATTCACTTTAAATGAGATGATTTTTTGGGAATGTTACGTCTGGTCAGGTTATATACCTCGCTTCATCATTGATTGTTTTTTTGTCCAGAGCTTGCCAGTGATCGGAAAAGTGAGGCAAAATGACGACGGATACAGGTTTTGGATCAAAAGCTTATCCTATTGCTGACACCAGTTTGTCTCAGAAGTTACTCGATCTCGCTCAGCAAGCGCAAAGCTACAAGCAATTAAAGAAAGGTGCGAATGAGGCCACGAAGACGCTGAATCGAGGACTTGCAGAGGTTATTTCCAATTTTAGGCAGCTTGACAGCCTTATCTTATTCAAGTTGTTGAAATACAAAACTGGAGAAATACACATTTCATTAAGACGAAATATAAATTTGGATTGAAAATACAAAAACCAAATAATTAGATTTACAATATTTAACAGATGTAGTAATTTTGTTTGGAATAGGTTCCATATGACTTCTGTTGCTATATTTTTGATCCAAAATTATCTATGCTACATATACAGGGATATCTGATGACTGATCTGACTATCTGATGACTATCTGACGACTATCTGATGTATCAAGTTTCAGGTCATTATAATGGCTGCTGATGCCGAACCGTTGGAAATTATCTTACATTTGCCTTTACTATGTGAAGACAAAAACGTGCCTTACGTGTTCGTGCGCAGCAAGGTAATCTTTATATATAAATGTCTATATCATTGTGCAGGAAAATTTTGTTTCAAGTGGATTTTTCTGGAAGGGTCTGTATAATTTTTCACTTTTTTTTGCTATTTTAATGTTTTATGCCAAGGAACAACTATACCATACAATTTCAGGCAGCCCTTGGTCGGGCGTGTGGTGTGTCGCGTCCTGTAATCGCTGCATCAATAATCCAAAATGAGGGTTCTCAGTTGAGAAGTCAAATACAGAAAATCAAGGAAGAAGTGGAGAAACTTTTGATTTGAGAAAAAAGAACACTAATCTTTGTTTCTCGATGAAAACTGTTTTTGCGGTCTTGGAGTCATCAAAAATTTTAGCTGAAATAAGGAAGATATAGTTTGAATTCACTTGTTTAAGACTGATTTACTTATTGCATACGTTTATATCGACAAGGCTCAAAAATAGATTGGCTTTCGAGAAACTCGAATTTCCATTCTTATTTCTTCCTTTTTTCCTGAAGTTTATATTGATGTCTACAAGATCCCTTTCAAACTTTACTTCTTTTACCAGTTGATCCAATTACTTCGTTTAAATTCATTTCCAACGGAAAGAATTTACCGGACTTTTTCCATTCAATGCTGTCCGTATTCGTTTTACTATTCGCTAAGTTTTTTTTTTTCTTTTGTTGTTAAGTTGATTAATTCATTTCATTCAATGTTGGATCATGTCATGTTCGCATCGATAGGTACTAACACGTCTTCAGCAAAACAGATGATTTTATTTTAAAAAGAGTTAGCTCGGAATAGTTAGCACTTTAACGTAAGGTTGAGGTCGAGTTAGAATGCATACCAACATGTTTTATTCAAGTTAAGATGAACCCATCCAATATTTGAAGGAATATACTGCTGTATTCTGTAAGCATGAAACAGCTGTTTGAATTATTTTTTAAAATGCTTTAATAAAATCTTGAAGCTTTCATTTTTTTGAAGTTCATAGATCATTCATAAATGGAGATAACAACTGCAGACCATGGCGAGTTCTATATTTGTATCTGTTTTACAACAAACAATAGCACTTAAGGTTAGGAATATCAGTACTTCAAACGTTCCAGTCACCTCCAACGTTTCTTGACGAAGCAAAAGCGTGTCTATTGATTTTCTTCATGTGCATCTTTAAGGGTTCCTGCAGCTAACTTCGCTTATTTGCACTGGTGCTTGAAAGTCATTATTAGTAGACAAGTTGAATGTTTCAGCTTCAATAATTTCCATATAGAAAATGCCACTCGTTTGAAGGTATTATCATTTCTGATTTTAAAGTTATGCTATAAAAAGTTTGTTCTATTTCATCGGAACAAAAGTAAGACATTTTTAAGTTTGTACTTTCTATTTCCTTTATTAAAGTGGAGTTCTTCACGAACATTTTTCACGAACACTCCCTTTTAGCGAAAGAAGAGCTTGGTGTCCTTAGGAGGATGCGAGCTATGCTGGTGGTGACATATGCTTCCGGAGGATTTCTCAGACGGATTTCAACTGAAGGCGTGTCCTAGGCGGGATGGGCTTGCTATCCTCCCAATAACTGTTTTAGGAGACTTTCCGGGCTGTAAGTCAGCTTGAAGAGAAAATTCTCAACCAGCCTGTACCACAGGAAGATTACCATCACCCAACTTAAGTCCGACATTTCAGCTATGTATGAAGCATCATTTCCTTGGATGGATAAAGAGATAGAAACAGGTAGCAAAAGCATACAGAGCTTTTAGAAAACTCCGTAAAAGAGTCTGGTGCGAGAAGTACAAAGATGGGAGTCTACAGATCCATTGTACTATCTACTCTTTAATTTGGGTCAGAATCATGAGACATATGCTGCCACCAACTGTGACTCCTCGAACACTTCCATCAGCGCAGCTTCCATACAATCCTAAACATCCACTTGATTGATTACGTGACTAATTGACTACCCTTGAACAGGTAAATAGCGGTCACCAGTATTGAGACCGTGCTACTGAGGACGCAGCTGCACTGGGAAAATAGAGGATAGAGGGTCTCTATTTCCTGTAGAGGATCACTCCAAGATAGAGGATAGAGGATCATTATCTCCCTAAGACCGTGCTCTATGGCGAACTCGTCACCAGGTGGCGCAGAAAAGCAGGCGATACTATGGTCCTTTCAGACTCAAATCGGGAGGCATGGAGTAACAGCATATATAATGCTGCTGTTTCCGTTGAAAACATAGCAGAATCAGTCTCGAGGAGAAAAGATAGCGGAGGTAGAATTGGGTGACGCCAATACTGTCTAAGGCGACTTCCCACTCGCCTTTTGCAACCGGAATTGCCTGTCTCTCATCGACTCCCTTTAGTCATGAGTGCGCTTGTAACAACCCATGAGTAGAGTCCTCCTACCTTCGTTCACGAAACTTACCAGGGTGATGATTAAGTTAGGGCCCAAGTCGTCCATCTTGTCACTTTTTTCTTCAGTATATCTAAAATATTTCGAACATGTTCAAAATTGCGCACACATAGTATTGGACTGAAATAAGAGACAAATACGATCATTTTCTTCAGAAACACTCGCAATGTTTATTACTTCCATGGCTTTTGCCGGAAACGCAGTTTTTTCGAATCCAATTCGAATATTACTGATGCAACCAATAAAACCTATCAAAATTAACTTTGTTCTGGATAAACCATCTGACTTTGAGAATTTAATCCAAATCTACTTCAGAAATATTACCAAGATGGTTAATGTTGATTCTGTTACTTAAAAAAGGTTGTTGTTCAGAGAAAGCACCTCAAAACTCAAGAGGAAAGAATGTTAAAGGCTTGGAGATAGTAAAATAATCAGATAGTGATTTAAAATGAGGAAAACAAGCCAAAAATGTATGAAACGCAAGCAAAGTTTAGATAGTCAGAGCGCATGGAACTTTTCAGTAGATTATCCATTACAGGCTTAATCATGTTTATATAAGATTTGCTTTATGTCTAATCTAAACTTTGCTAAATTTTTTTATATTGTTCACAAAGAGTTTCGTTCTAGAACAAAATCATAAATCTTAAGTTCACATTTTTCTCGATAACACTAAGTAATTAATGAAAGCTTCAGAGAGAAGAAATTTAAATTGAATTTAAATAATTCGAAGTTCTCATTAAAAACATTTTTCGCAAGTGATAAAAAATGGAATCCATACTGTTCCATAGTATCGTGATACGATTATTTCAGACATTAAAATCGTTCGAATCGTTGGTGTGCTACTGAAAGTATATAATTTAAAAGCATTGGAATTGTTTTAAAAGTTTTAGTTTATGATATAATCATCACAGATAAAAATCCGAATCTTACCTCCTACCAGAATTTTCGACTCATCTGAGCCATAAAAATTCTAATTGAGATGAAAAGTTGGAATTTGATAAAATAAAATGAAGTGACGGGTAATACAGTGACGTCGGATTCTTGACAGTGTTTCCTTTCAGAATCAATGCTTTTTCTTTTTTTGATAAAGATGGTTCTTTTCAATACATTTAAATTTCAATTTCAATACTCTTCACCAATAAAAAAAAAGGCTCTGAAAGTAATTTTACTAAACGAGAAAAGGAAGTGTGATTTAGATTTCAAATAGATGCCAATGTTGGATACATTTCTTTCGGTCATTGGAGATTATTTTTAAATAGTCTTTTAATACTTATAAAGCAATAATCAAAATCAAATGAAATTTAATAACAGTCCATCATGTCTGATGTCCTTATTCGTTAATCTTAAAAACACTTCCTATCAATTTTAAGAAGTGAAAATTTATGTATCTAATCTGAGACTGGAAAGATACTAATAATAACGAAAGTGAATAAATTTGCAGCACATTTCAAAAATGTTTTGGTTAGCAGATTCTCCGACTTGTAGAACAGAATGCAAAGCTGGGATGCTATCTCCTTATAAATTAGACTGCCATTAAACATGGTGTATGACTGATGTCTAAGGGATGAATAATTAAAATTGTAAATTAAAATAGTGTGAATTTCGGGATTAGACCAAAATTAGGCCTTTGAGCCTTGATCAAAACGGAAATTAAGTAAAAAGTATCAAATGTTAGGCGGTGTTACTATCGTTATCGCATGCATTACTATCTTAAAGCAGGTACTGGTACAAAGATGCAAATTCTTTGTGATGTTTAATATCAGAAAACTTGTTAGGCAAAAGGTCTCCTAACAATTACCATACTGAAGCAAATTATTTCATATTCGACTTGAAATATTCCATGCCAGTTTTCGTCCACTTTACCAATCTGTTCAGAAGAATTCTTGCAAGAATTTTGCCAACAGTAGAGAGCAGGATGATGTCACGGTAATTTGATAATCTGATTTTACTCCTTTGTTCTTGCATGGAACGATAATGATGGCATCATGGAGATCTGGTAGAAGTTTGCTTTTTTCCCAATATCTCGGAATGAGCTCGTAAAACTTAGCGTGAAGTGCTTGACTTCCGTGTTTCCGGATCTCAGATGAGATACCATCAATCCGAATTGCCTTGCCACTCCTCATCTGCTGCATGACCTTCAGCGTCTTTGTCACAATCGGGATTATATCCAATTCACTTTTCATCTGTTGTTGTGTAATGTGCTGAATTGCTGAGCCTTACACTGCATGGATGGCATTGAAAACAGTCTAGAAATGTTCAGACTTCCAACCTGAGGCTTTATTAGTGAGAAGCGTTTCGCTATTTGCACTGAGTAGGGAGCTTTTGAGCGTGATGTGTGGATCCATGCACTGCTTTCAGACCTTGTAGAATCCTTTCTAGTCACCTGGGTCTGCACACAGTTGGATATTTTATACTAAGTTGACCCATCATTTGTTTTGAATGTCTCGAAATTTCTGTTCGAACTTGTTGCATACAAGGCGAAAGGTGGTCTTTCTTATGTGACAGAATGGCTGAGTGAGGTGTGCTTGGTGAGCAGATTTCTTGTTCATTATCAAATACCGGGGTCTGAATTTATTCCTCTTGCAGGAAAATCCTAAGGATCCTAAGGAGATTCGCATGATCAAGTATAGTTCTGATGTCGCCGCACACCTTTGGAGGCAGGTATATGCCCTTGTCTTTTTGTCTTTGTTCGACCGCATCAGAAGATGCTCGTTGATCAGGAAATCGAGGTTGGGCCATCTTTTCTAGGTTTCTCTCCATATGGAGCTAGCAGTACTCTCGTTGGTAAAGGCTGCTTGGTCATTCAGGGTGCTGCCGAACAAGTCTGTCATTGTCAGGGTCAGTCTCGAGCAACCATTATCCTGAACCACCTGCATGCAGGGTGGGTCTACGGCTTCCAGTGCATCCTGTCACTTGCCGTTTCATCCTTGCCTGTCGCTACATAACTTTAAAAAGTGGGTGTATTCTTCGGGCCTGCACAATAGGTTTTTTTAGGTGAGGCACAGTATGCATGGAACTGGTCCACCTTCACTCCTAAGGTTTGTGTGGCAGAGCCTAACGAGCTTGATATTAGCAGCGAATACCCGTGAATGCACTTTGTCTGGCGCTTCAATCGAGGAGGGCATGGGAGGGCCTATTGGTGGGAATTGTCACCGCCAGCATAGCTCGAAACTTGATAAACGTAGGCAAGCTTCTCCCCCACTACAAGAGGGTGACCGTCGAGAATAAATACATCAAACAGTTTATATGATGCAAAGTGTTGTCCAACTTTCAGAGCAACTTTATCTGGCCAATTTTTTCGATTGTCGGCCAGTTTATAATATGCAAAGGGGTTACTGTAAATTCCTTTTTTTCTGTTTTGCTTTGTAGCCATGCCAAAATTAAAAATGGCTGAAATGAACAACTAAAATAAAATAGCTTTGAAATTCATCAAGTAACTTTGAAATAATCTGTTAATTGGCTTCTCCACTGATGTCAAATCACTGGCTAAACTGATCTATTACAGAATAATATAGCAGAAAGCATTGCCAGTAAACTGACAGCTATCGGAAAGGTAACCGACCGAGTGGATAGGGTAGTTGACAAATACAGGCATGCGACTATGGTTGTTGTTTGTACAGCGGTATGGATGTTACGAGGATGAAGCGCATACTCTGGTATGGATGTTACGAGGATGAAGCGCATACTCTGTAGCCATTTATGTACACATATTATATATACGGTAGGCAATTATTACTTATCGATGTCCTACATTCAACTATAACTCTTTTCATTGGTGTCCGGAAAGAAGATTCCGCATCCTTATCAAGCAGATTTGCCTTTTCGGACTATTGAAAAGATTATTCTTATTTGCCAAGTTTTCTTCTGATCTCATGAAAGAATGACAACGAATGGATGATGACCTAGAGAACTAACCGGACTGTAATGATGGGCGTGGTAGGGGATTGCGTAGAAGGGATCAAAGAATTTGAACTTGACTCGTCGCGAAGCAGCGGATTTACAGATTGAAAGATACGCGGCCATACGGTATTTTAGATTTCTGAAGTTGTT